CGCTAGTTTCTGAGTATAGCGAGAAAATAAAAGAAGGATTGCACATAATGAAAGTCATCTCGAAATAAAAATCAATACACTGAAGGAAAAATTATAAAAAATACGTTTAATAAAGATTAGTGATTTTGCAATTATTTTCAAATGTTATAAAAAATTAATTTAGTATGTTTATGAAAGATTACACCATACATATTAAATACATGTATGTATAAAACATAGAATACAACAAGAATTCTCTATTTATTTAAAGTTATAATTATAATAAAAGACACAGTGAAAGTAAATTTAGGTTACCAGCAGTCACCCTGAAAGAAAAACTGACATTTCATTAGAAATGCAGAAAAAATAATATGTATATTAAAAGGCATTGTTCTAAAGTAAAGGAAAACAATCATTAAAATCTGCCCTCTAGTAAAAATAGTATCAGCAATTGTTTATTTCTATGCTTAATGGTGGAGTCCATTGTTGCCAGGTGTTCAAATTCAAAATTTTTTCCAATTTTATGAGTGAATTAGTTTTTTATTGTTTGTAAAGTAATTTTGATGATACAAAATGAGATTCAATTATCTATTTACTATATGTTTTAAATTTCTATTTCAATTCATTTTAAAAGATTTTAGAAAACCTTTTTTTTCTCATCAAAATTCTGATCCCCCCAGGCAGCTGATCTAAGTTGCTGATGCATTAATTCACTCCTGGATATGTATTTTACTTGTGTTTATTAACACATTCCTGAAGGATTACAGAATTTTGATGTCTGTGAAAGATACTTAAATTTGTTTTCATTAACTGAATACACGAGATTTTAGCTGTTTTGATTAATGCTCATTATCATCTTAGCAAATGGGTATCACTATTACAAATAGTCATTTCTTCATCTTCCTCTTCATCATCATCTTCATCTTATGTACAACAGCCATTTCAGGCAATGATTGCCTTCATGCATGGCCATTTCTCCCCCTCCAGGACCATCTTACTCCCGCAGAAATCGAGAACACGACTATCCAAGTTTGAAGGATTCATACGCCATTCTTCTCTATTTGAAGGTACCTTTACCTTGTCAAACAATTTCTAATGAAAGTTTGTAGTATGAAAGAAGAAGATGTGGATTATTGGTTATGTTAAATAAACTGACGTGTTTCCAAAATATTGGATGTATGAACTACACAAATTGCCTTATTATTACCAGCATTCTTCAATGGCTTGGCATTGGTGGTTCTGCTTTAAATTTACATGAAGTAAGATCTTAAATGCTCTCTGGCCCTGTTGATCAGTGACCCGTTCAAAATATTGTTTTCCGAGGCTGTTGTTCAAATGACATTATACTTGGGTTTTTATAACTTGGTGGATGAGTTCCTGTCTTCGCGATGTAATATCTTACGGCATTTTGTGTCTACTCGGTTGTGCTTTCGTCATATACAGTATCTAACAAGACACACACACACACAAAACAAAAAACAAAAAAACGAAAATCATGGAGCCGGTTCTTTTTTTGCAAATAATTTTATAAAAAAATTAAATTTGAAAAAATGTCCCTGGTGCTCCATATAAAGTACTCACAAAAATTAAAATATCGTTTTCGAATTCCAGGGGCCGCAACATGTGAATATCAATTTTGAAGAAAACTGCCCGAACGGTTGAGCCGTAGCGTTGTTCACAGACGGACAGACAGACATTTTGACGTCATTCGATTTTTTTGGTATCAAAGACTTACAAAACGGGTTCTGTCTAAATCACGTGTTAGATGATTTTTATTTATTTATTTTGTTAATTTAACGAGTCGATTTATTCCCATTTTCGTTGCTAATGTCCTACAATATGAGTTTTTCTGCTGGAAATTCACGTTTTTTCGCTCAGCATTACATGACATCTCTACACCGTAAAATATTTTCGGATAATGAGTTAAACGAATAAAATCGTAAGCATGAGCTGAGCTTAGCCTGCGTCATTCCACATAATCTGTAATGTGTCACATTCGACCAAAACATTTTGAATAAAAAACTTAATTTACCGATCACACTCAACTTACAGTCGAGCATTTATATAGTATCCCTAGAATGAGGAAATGTCATAACGAAGGGGCGGATTTTGATGACTTAAAACATCGCCAGTAATCTATAAAATACTCTTAAAATGTGTTTAAAATTCCCTAAAAGCAAAGACAAGTTACGTTTATTATTATTATTATTATTATTATTATTATTATTATTATTATTATTATTATTAATTATATTTTTTTTCTTGTCGAAACAAAAAGTTCAGATGCCTAAACTCAGCGCCTGTTGGAGGATGTTACTTGATGTAATGCGAGTGGCGGCAGCAAGGGAGAGGGCCATTCCCTCACTCAAAAGCCCAGAATAAAATGAAAATAGTAAAACGTGCAGGAAAAATAAAAGTGATAAAGACAAGAAAAAAATTGTAAAAGCGTCAAAAATGTATCGAAAAATTACCGGGCGTTTTTTTCCTTATCCTATTAGTTACAAATGAGAATCCTGATTCTCGCTGTATTTGAGCCCAATGGTGCGCATGGTGCTATGAAAAATGTCTTCGACTTTTCTCCAGAGGCGTGTGACAGCTCATATCTCTTTCTTACTCCGCTTGACAAGCGGTGCTACGGCCACTTCCACGTATTCGAATGTAGCCGACGCAATCGAATACAGTGTTAATGGAGTAAGGTCTCTCTCTAGGCCAAGCGGGAGATGGTGGGCCGCTGTGACATTTCGCTGCAATTGCAGTGTGCCCGACCCAAACAAATTGAGTATGGATTGCTTACTTGCGCCTGGAGACGGAATGGTTAATAAGTACTTAAGAAGAGAAAGAAAATATCTGAAAAGAATAAGAAGGAAAGAGTAAGAAATCTAAGAAAAAGAGAAAATATGAGATCTTGAAACATGTTTTGTTCAATCCTGTCGCTTGCTTCAGTCCTGAACAGTAAAATTTGTTTATGAGCGAATGTTTAATTTCTAAATCGATATCATACATTTTCATTTAAATTTTATCTGTTGTCATCTGTATCATAGAATGAAAAATATATCCTAATTCTTAGTCATTTGCTACTCAAAATTCAACGACTTTAATAACAAATTATTATTTTTATTTTAAAACTATAAAGTATTCATTAATTATTGAACTTTATTTTTTTTTAACTGACATCTGTCATACCCTGAGAGACTTGCAGCTCTCCGTCTGTCAACAGCTAATGACCGGACTTCGCGGGGAGATCTCTCGGAAACAAACCAAATACTAAACGGTCACTACAACTGCCCAGTTTCGATGTTTTCTTTCTCTGCAACGCCAACTTCCACCTTCGTTATCACAATTATAAATTGAACAAATACAATTTTTTGCGCAATCCATCTTTTTCCTTTTTTTCTGAACAGAGTCGTTGATCGCTGGAATCCCATACCTGCCGCTGTTGTCAAGTCTTCCAGCATTCACACATTTAAAGAACGTTTGGACCAATGTTATACTGTTTCTCTCTTGATTATCATCTACCATTTCCCTCCTTTTTCGGTTTTCTTTGCTATTTTCCAAATTGTAATTTTATATTTCTTTCTCGTGTGTATCTTGTATCTTTGAACGTGAACATTATCAGGATTGTCCTACCTGTTCGTGTATTTAGTAAATAAATAATTCAATAATTATTTATTCTAATGACAGTTGTAAAATATGTTCATATTAATGACTGAACATTTTAAATAGTATAACAGTGTAGATTTATTTACTGAACCATTATCACATTTTCCTCAGTGTTAGGGATGAAAAAGATACCATTTAAGTGGGAGACATTGAAATACACTTTCTTCAAAATTGACTACTTAATTGTCAATGAGTGTTAGTGTCAGCAGTGACCGATCTTCAATTTACCTAGTATCTCTTCCCAAATTAATAAAAAAAGTTGAAAGTGCATTTCAAGAGGCTTTGCCTCTTTCACATTCCGAACTACAGACTGGACTGTTCATTGAAAGGTTGTAAGAGTGATACATGAATATGTCTTTCTGGTCTTTGTTATTTTCACTGATTTCTGGGGCGGTCATCTCCTATTGTCATATTTTCTTTTGCCAAAATCCGTTGAGATTCTTGGGATTCTAAGAGAGTTGCTGTATCTTGGAATACTAATTTGACTTTTTGGCAGTACAGTATTTCTCCCACTTTTCTGCACGAAATGCCTTAAGGAACAGTGGCGTAGCTGGTGGTTACTTGGGGGGGTCTTAATAATTTGTCGCCTATTTTTAGGCAACCCATCATGCAGTGGGGTTTGAGAGGTCAAGGGAAGCAGTCAAAAATATTTCGTATAATATCTAAAAACTCCTATTACAGAGCCCTGGTAACGAAAAAGAAGATAAATCCAGCTGCTATATGTAAAAACAAAAGTCCTCTAACACCTCTATAGTCAAAATCCATGTTTTATGGGTCCTTGATACCGAAAAATAGATTGACTGCTAAACGTCTGTCCGGCTGTGAAGAATGCTAGCGGCTAAACCGTGCAGCTGATTTTCTCCAAATTGATATTCATCAATCGATCTGGCTGATTTCGCGGCCCACGGCGGTCTGAACGTGTCTGAAACGCGCGCGTAGAATATTAAGTTAAATATCTATTTATTTAGTGATTTTAAAACGGATTTTTGAGTATGGATCTGATGAAGCATGTTTTAGGTGCAAAATAATAATATTCCACTTAATTTATATTGTTTATTTATGTCGACAACAATACTAGTATTCATCTGACATTACTGAGACGAATGAGGGCTTAATTTCTTTGTCCGCAATAAAAGAAAAGACTACATGGATTTTCCCCATGAATGAAGGGAGAATGGATAAAAATCTGGGTCGAGATACTGTTTATAAAAATTATTACACTAGTTTTTAAACGTAGAAATACAGTAAAAACTCTTCGTTTTTGTTGTAAAAGGAATAAATAGTATTTTTGTAGTAATGAATTACACTATAACAAGTGTATTAATCGTCTGTCATTTTTATCGCTTAACAATAATGAATTATTTTATATTCTTTCACTTTTAAGGTACTTAACCCGTCATAGGTGGCGCATGGGAGCTTTGAACAAAGAAACGCCAATAAGGAAATGACAGAGACCTAGCCTCCTCAGTTAGCTTACTATAAGACTGTTACCTTCATGTCACGTGAGTCTTACATTTAGCAGTCCCGGTTACGCATTTGCCATAGGTCATTTCTTGTCCGGATCATTTCACCCCGCGCGCCTCCTCTTGGATGTCATCCAGCGCGTACCCAGAGGGAGGGGCAGTTCGGGGCGACGAAGAAGTATTTAGATTTGTTCACTTAATAGCATATTAATTTCACGGTGGTATGCTTCTATGTTTTTTTATAATTGCTCGTCAGTGATCACTGTTAGAAACTTCAATAGAAATGACACTTTCTATCAAAGCCCGTCAAGTAAAGTTTAAACATTAGCTGCTTTTGAAGATGCATGCACATATTGTTAACAAAAAACATTTACAAATATCTACTTAATAACATTTATTCATTTCATGAAAGTGTTTTTAGTTGTTTTTTTTTTTCATGTAATTGCCAGATAAATATTTTTAATTGATATGGAGCTTTCTTTCAATTCTCATGTAAATTTTAATGGTCACTTTAAAAGACGGAGGCTGAGGCTTTTACTGTTAACGAAAAAACATTAACAAATGTACACATAATAACAGTCATTAATTGCATGGAAATGTTTTTTTAGTTGTTTTTATCAAAAATGACTTACTTAACGATCCTTTCTTTCATACCTCGTGATGTAAACTTTAAAAGGTCCCTTTTTAAAACCGGCCAGCCGTGGCGGCTGCTGTTAACGAAAATACATTAACAAATGTCCATTTAATAAGAGTTATTAATTTTCATGAAAGTGTTTAATTTTTTTATTGCCTGGCAAAGATCACTTCGTTAATGGAAATCAAGCTTTTTCCCACCTCGTGTAAACTTTAAACGGACGCCATTTTGAAAAAGTTGGCCAAGGTGGCTGTTGTCAACGAAAAACTATTTAACAACGTTTACTTAGTAACATACATGGATTTCACGGAGATGTTTAGATGTTTTAATGTTAGTGCCCGTCAAAATTCACTTCTTGCATGTTTCGGTTCTGCAGATCTCAATTTCATATCCTTAGATTTATTTAGTCAAAAAACAATAAAAACTATATGTGACGTATGGGGGAGAAGATAAACTGCGCACGTTTTGTTGAGTTCCAGAATCCCTTCCCATCATTTTAACTAAAAATAGTTGAAAGTGGAGTAAAAATTAATTTTAAATAAATTAATAAATAAAAAGAAAATTTTAAAAAAGTGCGAGATTAGCGACATTTGAAAAACTTGACATTTTGTTTCCGGGTTATAGACAACGTTTTTGCAACGGTAAACGAACTGCAGACTTTATTTTCTGCATTGCTAACAAAATTGTAACTCACCCTTACCTCCTACCACTACAAGCGAAAGGAAAGTTCAACAAACGTGCGCATAGCGAAGCTACATTTACTTCCAGAAGCAAAACAAAGAGCCATCTCAGCATTTGCTCAATGTATCAGGGAAACTGAACAAAAACCTGATCGAGATGGTGTTCATTGATCCGGAAGCTGAGGTACATTATTTGTTACAAGCATATGAAATATGTTTAAAAAATTATACAATACAAATGTAAACTGTATGTTAAATAAACATTATTTTTCTTTTTGTTGATCAGTATAGTCTCTATTTGTATAGAAACAGTCATGCAGCAGAAAATATTTTACTTTTAACTTAAATTTGTGTACCGATTTCAATTATTTAATGTCTTATGACAGTTTGTTAGAAAGTTACGAACATGTGTTTTATGTGTATTTCTGGTAGAGAGCTGTTGATACTGACACTTAAGATGAACGTGATTTCTTCGACGTGTGTTTTAATTATAAATATCAGTATTGCATAAAAATATGTTCCCGACGTTAAGTAAATCGGTTTTGCCGCAAATTACAAATTCGTAAATAAATAGGCACCATTAGCAAATTGATTATTAGATTAGCATGATTAGTAGATTAGATTATTACAAATTCGTAAATAAATAGGCATTACAAATTCGTAAAAAAAAAAAATTGTAAGATTCCAAGCTCAATGAAGAGAGGCTTGCAAGGATCTCGCAGATGGCATTTTTTTCATTATTCGAATAATTTTCTTTTGCAATCTAAAGGTCTGAGTATTACATGAACTTCCCCAGAATATTATTCCATATGTCAGGCGGGAATGCACATTTGCAAAATACACGCAACGAGCTGCATAAGGCTGAGAGTATTTGAAAGGATTCTGAATACGTAAGAGAATGAACTTAATTTAGTGTTTAATTCTGTTATATGTACATTCCATTTCAGGTTTGACTGAGTTGAGAGACCTAGAAATATTGTTACCATAACATGAGGCAATTGCATGTTGTTCATTTTCAGTGGAGCATGCGATTGCTGATTGAAATGCAAACATACAATGAAACTGTTTTCCCTTCAGTAACTATTAATTTTTTATTGCAAAACCATTTTGAAACTTCTTAAATCGTATTGTTTATTGCAAAGAACATTCGTGTCATTGGCAAACAGAACCGTTTTTCCGTTTTCAAGAGACGAGGGCATATCGTTTACTATAACTACATTTAAGAACAAGAATTTTCCATTTTTAACGTATCAGGGACCTACAATACAACTTTTTCTGACGAAAATTCGCAGTTTTTCGTTGCAGAATTGCATAGTTTTCTCTCTATTACGTAAGTTATATGTAAGAAAGTAATTAACAACATGAATTTATTTGTGGCATTGAACGTTTGAAAAAACGAAATAGCTTTTGTTTATTACAGTGTAACAAGGCAATTCATGATCAACCTCGTAATATTATACAATTTTGGAGTAATTATTAATTTAACAAAGAGATGTTTCTTATGTTATGACCTTACAGAGTAAATTACACTCGTAGACCCTCTGATTCCCTGTACTTCTGTAGCCGGCCAGAGCTTCCGGTCACTAATCTGAAAGCCGGGGTTCGATTGCAGATGTTCCCCATGGCATATTTTCCTCCAGTAGAACAAAGGGTGCTAATAAATATAGTATTAATCCGATTATCCTTAATGTGATGGTTTATCACAAACATAATTAAACAGGAATAATAATAAATTTCCGTAATTATAAATACGGACGACAGCAACAATGGTGGTATAGAAAAGAATCGAGGTGATCTTTATTTTGGAAACAATACAACGAAAGGACAACAGAATTGATGGTGGGGAAAATACATAATATGACAATGAATAATGCAGTGAAAGGACACGTGAGCAAATACCGTGGGGCATAAAATAAATTAAGAAGTTATTACGAGCAGGAAACCAAAGAAGAAAAAACAGATACTATGTTAAATGTGTGTGATCAATAAGGAGTGAGATCGTGTGAGAAGAGGGACTGATGAAGGGCGTGCGAAATGAAAAAATGGGGCAGACGATGTTCTGACACTGAGTGAGATGTAAAAGGGAAAGTGATTTGGTTGCGGGAAGAATTAGACTGAATTGTGAGTTTGTATAGGCGAGGTTTTAAGGTAGTACAATTAGAAAGACAATTTTCAAATAGGATATTTGTATGATATAATATGTATGTATATGATTCACTGCACATAATGAAATGTTGTTAAGTGAAGTAGGTATTATTATTTACGAGTAAAAAATAGAGTTCCCTATCCTAGGAAACAAACAAATTACTCTTTCGTAAATATTTCGCTACCGAGTATCTGTATAGACGGCCTATCTGACCGACGTATATTAATTTGTATCATGACGGGGTTGATCTTGGGATAACCTTCGGGCAACAGTCGTGTGAAATGTGTAATTTGAAGCAGTAAATTCAGGAGAATAAACAAAAAGGTACCAGGAACGGTCCCCAGTCAGATCAAAACCCAAGACGCGTTCCAAAATGGAAAATAGGAATTTCACGCGTTTCTTTAGCTGAAGTGGTTCATGTGATGGTTAGAATACTGTTCGCAATATGATATTGTGTCCTCTACAAATATGAAAAAGTATGAGTAGTGTTTTGGCTCCTAGTTGTTATTTTTTAAAAAGTCTGTCATAGAACAACACTAGTAAAGAAAATTAAAATAAAAAAATAAGAAAAGGCGAGGATTTGCGATGTTTGCAGCTCGGCACGCGAACTGAGAGGGGTGTTATCTGGGGAAGAGGAAGCTTGTGATAGAGAAAAGAAAAGAGTGCAGTGTCTTCAAACAAAAGAGTGTGGATCGTTTCCAATTTTTCAATGTAACCATTTCAATGTAACTGTGAATTTGGTGCAAGAAAACGCGGTGTTATTTCTTAGTTTCATTTGTATACAAACTTTTTAACACCAATGTTTAATTTTAAAAAACTATTCTAATAGTTGTTAATCTCGAGAAAAGGATTTAGCTGGAAGGAAGTAATAATCAAAGAAATAATTAACAGAGAATTAGAGGGGAAATGAAATGAAATATTGTTTTTGTTTGATTTATGTAAGGTGAAAAAGCGCAATGACCGAATATCATACGTCTAGGGTGCAAAAGTTATGCCCCTCTTCCAATAAAAAAGACATTTCGTGCTCTCTTGTTAAATCCATCTGGACATTTTTTTTTATACATAAAAAGACATGTCCGGCGGAAAAGACTAAATGTTAACTAAAAATACAATAAGTTATTAAGATTAAGTAAATTCTCGAGCGTAATTTTCAACAAGTAAGTTTATTGTCATCTTGAATAACACTATATGAATGCTTCTGTTGCAGTACAATTATATACAATGTACAAAGTTATAGGAATCTTTTATCTATACCCTTGAAAGGAGAAGAAAAACTAGTGGCGCTAAAACAGTACGTACTTTCTCGCCATTAGTAATGGTTATGTAATACTATTTACACCACAATTATGTTTTGTAAAACGCGTAGAACATTTTGGTGCAGAATGCGGAAAGTAAAAAAATTAAAAGTTAATACATTATACGATACTGATAGCGTTGGCAAACAGATAGAAAAATATATAATCGTATTTATTAAACACAATGGTATTGTAATATTTGAGAAATACATAAAAGGATTGGTTTTTATTGCCGCGAAAGAAAAGTAACCTTTGTTATCCGTTCAGCGTTACAATAATTGGTAACAACAAACAACCGCTCATAAATTCGTTTTCACATTTAACACAATTAAAAGACGCGAAATGAAATAACATAAATATAATATAATTAATATTAAAATGGAATGTGAAATAATGTATAAATTCTAAACGTAGCATCCTACTACGTAGTTTGGGAGCAAGCAACTGAAGGCTAGCAATCTTTAATGCCAAATTGTTCCAAAAATACTCATATTTTTGGAACAATTAAAAATATAAAAACAAAAATTTAATATGATATAATTTTAAAATGTTTTTGATAAACACATTTCATTAAGAAAAAAATTATCTTCATAATTGTAATTGTAAGAAGACGTCGAAAACGTTAGAATTTTTTCAACTTTAGTAAAATCAGAGTTTTTAACCAACATGAGACCTCTACTATTTTCCTAAAGGTCCTACCGACTACCCACCAACAAAATTTCATCCAAAACAATGGAGCCGTTTTTGAGAACAAACATTATGTATGCCTATATAATGTACACAAAAACACGCGAAAAATGCTGAAATTTTCGAAAAATTGTGCATGACCTTATATCAAAATGTATCTTCGAACAGATTTTATTAAGGGAAAAGTATCGTTAACATTTTAGTTCTAAAAAGACGCCGAAAAAAATTGAATTTTTGCAATTTTCAAAAAAATCAGGGTTTTTAACCAATAAGAGACCTGCGCCATTCTCTTAAAACGTTTTTCAGACTATCTACCAACAAAATTTAATCAAGATCAAAATGAGTAAAAGACACACTGTACAATTCGATCAGCTATCACTCTCTTTCGGAACTAGAATCAATAACCAGCAGGTACTCTGGAAGCTGAGAAGAACATAGTTACATTATGTAAATATTTATATTAAAGTATCACGTTCGTGTATCCAAGTATAATAACAGAAATTTCCTTCCCTGTGGGTCCGCGTCTGATCATATTACGTTACCATTGCAAATAATGTTACTAAGAATGTGCTATTATAGAATCATTAGTTTTCTTTCAAATTTTGAGATTGATCATTATTTACTTGCGCATTGAGCAGATATTACGTTCATTTTATTTATTACTAAAATACTCGTAAGTAACGCGGCCTTATCTGAGCCTTTATATAATTTGGAATATGTCGATTAACGTAAGGCGTAGGCTTCACGCAAGAAGTCCGGGCACATGACCGGTGCAGAGCACGGAGACGGCTACATTGAATGTCATTATTTACCACAATCATTAGTAGTAAGACATAATTGAAGGTGCGTAAACCATATTTGTGATAATAATTCTTTACAATTTTGAGTGATATGAAGTTTTTACATTGAATTTGACGGGGAATGATATCAACTCTGGTAATGCCTCTGAGGGGAGGCTCACGTGTAAGCCTCCACCCTCATGTATGCTCACAAGTGCTTATGGCACTCATTACCACGGGACTGATTAAAGCCATCATATTTCTCCCTCAAATGAGAAACTTTTTGCATTTTAGGACTGCCCAGAAAAGGCCAGCCCTACTTCAATTTTTGAACTGCAGACGAGTGGTGAAACGTCCGATAAAGAACACCCATCAGTGTTGGATTTTAAAAGGTGAGTAATATACTTAATGTGGCATTACAACAGAAAATGTAGCTATTACTGGAGTTTATGAAAAGTTAATTGACAATTTTTGAAAAGTTCAGTTTAATCATTTTAGTGCATGACTGTAGTTTAAGCTTAATAAATTGTGTAACTTCCAGCTTTGAAGATATGTCAAAAACAGTTAAAACTGTGAGTGATGTACAATGGGGACAAGTGTATTTAGTTTTTACAAATTAGTAGTGTACCATTATTAAATCAGAATATGTACTAATTTGTATTGTTTTCACAGGAATGGTGAGGTCAATGAAAGTACTCGCTTATTTATTATCAATTCAGTAAATGCGGAGGAAAATAATTCAAGAGAAACAGCTAATGTAAATATCAAGACATGTGATGAATACTGTGAGCCTCTGGATGATAATTGTCATAACACATATGCAGTAGAGTTCTTTCCTAGTGAACAATGTGAAAATTCAGAAATTGTTAACAATATTGGTGTTATAGTACCAGACACTGAAAAAGTTTACATGTGTTTAGTTTGTCGAAAAATATTTAAAGAGAAAGATAAACTTCTAATGCATGAAATTTCAGAACATGCAGTGGACACAAACGTACCTGAACCTCCCAAAGCTGATTCAACGAGATCATCGTCATTGACATCAGCAATAACCACCACTAATTCTTTGACAACAGTATCATCTTCTAACTCAAAAAAATATAAACGAAGAGGAACACATACATGTTTAGATTGTGGAACCAGTTTTCCAGGCCTAAAGCCTTTGAATCGTCATATCAGGGAATATCACATTCCAGCTGAAAATATTTGTGAATTTTGTGGTGCTCATTACAAAATTAAAAGTCAGTTGGAAGTGCATAGGCGTTTACATACTGATGAAAAACCTTTTTCATGTACAGTTTGCAATGAGAGTTTTCATTTCAAAAAGGCCCTGAAAAGACATAAACGAAGTCACATTGAGCCCAAGTCTTTGACTTGTAATGTGTGCAATAAAACATTTACAAATAGAAGTGCTATGTGGAGACATGAACAAATTCATTCTACAAACAGAAGTGTTTTATGTTATTTGTGTGGTAAAGTCCTTTCCAATTCACAGAGTCTTAGAGTTCATATGAGGACTCATTCTACAGATAGACCTTGCTCATGTCCAACTTGTGGTAAAACATTCAGAGATAACATTTCTGTTAATAAGCACATGATAATGCACTCAGCAATAAAAAACTTCAAATGCGATATTTGTGGTAGAGCTTTCTATAGCAAAGGTCTTGTCAAACAGCATAAGTTAAGTCATTCAGGAGTGAAACCTCATAAATGTGAAGTTTGTGGTGCTGCTTTCAATAGACTTGGCAATCTTAATCAGCACAAGAAGAAGCACATTCAGGATGGAACTTTGGACCATGTGAGGCCCAATCTGACTCACATGTGTGTCATATGTGGGAAAATGATGAAATCTGAATTAACATTGAAGTATCACTTAGCAAAACATACAGGAGAGAAAAAGCCATTTGATTGCGAGGTATGTGGTAAGCGCTTTGTGGCAGTTGATCCTTATCGTGTTCATATGCGTATTCATACTGGAGAACGCCCCTATGAATGTAGTCATTGTGATAAGACTTTCCGAAGTGCTTTTACTTTAAAGCAACATTCAGCATTACATAAAGACGAGTTTCCATACCCTTGTACTTTCTGTGAGAGAAGATTTAAACGATTGCAATCATTGATTGTTCACAAAAGAACTCATACTGGCGAGAAACCTCATCCATGTCCTATCTGTGGACGTGGTTTTGCTCAGAAAGGTGACATGATCAAACACACTAAAACTCATAATCGCGAAAGAAAACCTGTAACAATGGAATTAGAACATATTACAGAACTTGTTCTCAGTGATACGGAAATAACAAGTGAATTCCTTATTGATATGCCTATTGTGGAGGTTGAGACAGAAATGAATTCTGACATGCATGTGCAGATTCAATCTGATATCCATTCTCAAATACAGGCAGGTATCGATGCCGAGATGAAATCTAGTATTGAATCACAAATTCATCCAGTTATTGATTCTGATATCCAATCGAATATCCACGCTGATATAGCACCATGTATTCACATGGAAATACAACCTGATATTCCGTCAGATATGACCTCAGACATTACGACAGGTATAACACCAGAAGATTTGCAATCAGAAATTCATTTGAAAATAGATTCTGGAATTTATCAACAATAAATAAAAAGGAATGTGAATAAACTAATAGGTAACGACAGTTAAGATGCTTTATTGTATTTGTTGAAACATTTATTGTTTGTTCAATATTTTGTTCAAATATTAAAAAGTTAGGGGCATGTTTTAGAATACTACAGAAAGTTGTAGAATTAGAAATAAGATTTAATAAATTTGTCTTTATTGATAATGGAGTAGTAGTAAATGGCCAGTTGATTAAAACTCCACATTTACTACATTTCCCAAAATACTTTTTTAGTGAAGTTTTACGGGTCTGTCAGAAATACTTATAGCTGCAAAAGCTTCATTGTGGATGTACATTATTCCGTGATGATTTGTATATATGTACACAATTACTACATTAATTATGTAATTAAAAAATATTTTATAGAATCCATGGAATAAATTATTTCATGTTTTACTAATGATCTTTATGAACATCTCTAAATAAATGATTTTTGTACATATTGTAAAGAGCAATAAAATCAATTCAGAATACAACATTATTTTGTTTCTGTGTTACAAGAATTTCTTTATTGTGTGTGAAGATGAACTGTAGAAATTGAAAAAAAAGAAACAACAACAAAAAAAACCAACAACATTACAATACTAAAATATGAAGTTTGTGATTATCAGTTCACAAGCTATTGGCAAGTCTCATGAACTGACCTTCATTTTACTTATGGTCAGAAGGCATTAAAGTGGAAAAACTTACAAACACCTAGAAATAAAATGGGAAAAGGCAATGAAAATTCAAAAGTAAAAAAGTCCTTAACATACTTTATTACACTTACAGCTAAAATTGGCAGACCATTTGCATTTAAAACAAAACAGCAATATTATTTATATCCTAATGCAAATCAATATTATAATGAACTAATGGAACCCGGTAGACTTCTGCCCTTCATCTCCCTCTTTCTCCTGCCATTCTGTCTGGCTGTGTCAGAGAGTATATATCGTGTCAGTCTTCCTGTCCGTTTCTCCGTTTGTGTCTCGCCCTGCGTTACACGGCAACGCTCAGCAACAATGAAGTTCAAGTAGAGCGCAGTTTGAACGGGAATTTAGTTAAAAAGCGCATTTTTTCTGAAGCGCCATCTGGTGGAGTTTCAACAAAATTAACAGCATGTAAACCTGGGTGGAAAAACACCCTGTGTAGATATGCCAACTTTCACGGTGATCGCTCACACGGTACACATGCATACCAACCTATGCCCAAACTTACCACCTTCAACAGAAGCACGCATAAGCCGTAAGCGTGTTATCAAGATTTTGCTCGTGAAGCGAGCTTTAAAAAAATCTAGGGAGCAGGATCTTCAGGGTGCGAGAAAGGTTTGAACCCTCGACACAAAATTACAAAGCTTGCACACGCACGAGCGTATAATTTACTCATAAACTTTTAGTGGCATAATTTCATGACAAAAACAAAAAAAATAGAATCACATATTTACAAAGAATGAGCAGAACACAAATGGAAACCTTTACATCACACATATGAACACACACAATTTACACCAAAATTGAAACTCCGAAATTATTACCCTAATATCCACTGGGGATTCCCTTGGAAAATTAAGTGTATCTAAGTCTATGCTATTCTGTTTACATTGCACATGAAACCAAAATTTAAATTTACAATCTCCTGCTTTAAATATTAAATGCAAAGAAAAAAATGTGTGTAATTGCACTACTCTCATTTACAATTTAACAGGCTGAAAATAACAGAATAATAAATGCCTTATATATAATATTTTATGCAGGCAATAGTGCGTCAAAATGTCTCCTACTATCATACTGCAATTCGTTGCCACCTGTGTCCTCAATTTCTTAACATTTTTCCTATACTAATTTTTCTCTGCCGACGTGAACTTGACCTATTTTTCGCGCTCTAACCGTTACCTCGTGGACTTCCCACTTTTGGCCTTGATGGTCGTGCGCTCGTCGCTCGGTCCCAGCTTCTGCGTCGTAGAGAGACGGGATTCGCCTCTGCCGTTTACGTTGTCTTCTTGCGCCCCTTTCCGTTCTTCTTCCTAGCCGTTCCGTCTTCTTCCTCGTGCGCCTGGGTCCTCGGCCTCTTCGTCCTGTCTGCTACCGGGCGCGTCTGACTACGCCCACGTTGCGAAAAGTCCCTGCACTTCGCCGAATTCTCGTGCAAGTTCCTCGCTCGTTGCTACTTCTACTTGCTAAATCAGAACTTTTAATGCTTCTTTCACAACGGGTAACTTTTACTTCCCGTGTCGTTAATTGAAGGAATACTTTACTGAATCCTGCACTATCTCGCCGTCGACTGACTAGAACGTCTGTTCGACGCGAATACTCCTACCTAGTAGTCGTTGCAGCGGCAAACAATATCTAAAACTAATGTTAACGAAAGTGTTGGCTCGGCGAGCGGTGATCAAAGTGCTGCGCTCGGTGATCGGGAACCCCAAAGAGAAGAGCTGTTTACTCGACGAGTGGTGCAAGAAGAGAGGCTCCGCTTGCGGTTCGCGTATATATCGCCCGACGCCTGGGAAATTTTCAGTGGTGAGGTTGCTTCCCGTCTCTCAACCCTCCACAAGGAAAACGTTGCTTGCTAGTTTGCCACCGTCTAGTACGGCAACGGATACCAGGCCGCGCGTTTAGAAAAACCTCTGCTTTCCGCACCTGCTATCCTCGCTGCCTGTGGGTATTCACACATACGAGACGGTGGCGTTATGGGGTTGCACAATCCCATAACGGCACAATATATATTACATTGGCATTACAATAGCTTAACACTTACTGAAGATATAACTTTCAAAATCCATCTTTTCAGTTATTATTGAATTTTCATCAGTGTATTAATATGACACATTATTTTCGCTCCCTTTGTTGGAAAAAGAGCAAATCACTTCATCGATTGCTGATAAATGGCCATTTTCTTGGGTTTAAATTTTGGCTTCTGTACTTGATTGAACTGTGACTTACTTCAACAGGGCCCATCACGTTTTCGCTCCCTGAAAACAAGGGCAGTTGCTCCCGGCTCTTACTCCCAATACTCACCATGCTGAACTTTCGGATTCACATTAAAGTTCGCCGCAGCTGGTAGAACACGTTACAAAATCTACACATCCAAATTTTGGGGTTCTATGGAATATTAAAAGTAGGATTTTGAAGGCTTTTGCATCAGGACCTTACGTGAGCCCCGCGCCTCCCGCCGGTGATCCGTTGCATCGGCAGCGCCAGGAACGTTACGCAACCGGTTTTATCAACTGGTGTCATAATTCCAGTTCTTTCAGGATAGAGGCAAATACCATGTCCGCCATTATTTACTAGGCTGTCCAGGTGACGCTGCGTCCATGGCGAAGGGGCCGACGTTTCGGTCGCCATTCTGCGACCTTCCTCATAACGCCCTGAGGAAGCTCGCAGAATGGCCACCGAAATGTCGGCACCATCGCCATGGACGCGGCGTCACCCGGACAGCCTAGTAAATACTGACTCCTGCCGCGGAAGCCCACGCTCTCACCATGTCCGCCAGTCTCTTTAGTTTGAGATGCACAGTGACCGCAATTGTAATATTACCGTAGTCAGGATACCGTGAACAAACGCATTTTTTTAAAAAAAGATACTGAATAAAAAACTTACATGCGGTACGCTTAATGCGTTTTTTGTGTTCCTCTATCATTTAAACAAGCAGTTTTCAAACTTTTTCTGTCCAAGGCTCCCTTGACCTAAACGAAAATTCTCTCGGCTCCCCTGCTAACAGTACATTTAAAATATAAGGGTTAATATAAAGAATAAGATTCAACGCAAATGAGTGATATAATAGGCTATTTTATTTCTCCGTTGTTCATTAGGTATTAGGGTAAACAGAAAACATTTTATTCAACTGTGTAATTTTATGACAAAATTCGTATAAAAATTAACGGAACAGGGCTTGTTTCTTTATCAACATTTGTTCAAATCTGGGTTCAATATGTTGAACTCCCAATTATGTTTTCGACCTTCAGTTCCGATCTGTGTTTGTTTTCAATAATGCCAATTCCAAAATCCTACCTTACATAAGTTGGATATTGCAAAAGGGCTTAAAATTCGAAAGTCCGTGTTTCTTATTTATGGATACTTCTTTTTCATCAAGCCACAGGCTATAGTACGAGCTCCATTAGTACACACTCCTTCACAATATTTCCATTTAACGTTATTTCGTTTCATAAGAGTTTCAAAGAGGTGTTCCGCTTTTGCTCTAACAGTGATATTTCTCCAGAAAAGAATATCTTCATGCAACTTGATATCATGAATGTGCCTCACAGACTAACAAATTAGATGCACATGATTGTGGCTATCTGTAGCTTCATCTCTCAAACTCAAAGAAATCACTTTCATTGAGTTTTTCAATGTCCTGACCATTATTATCGTCAGCAATGTCAAAATTTGACGACTAATTGTATTGTCTGACGAAAGCACACTTGCCAGTTGCTTGGCAGCAGACTCATCTATCATTATAGATACCATGTCTAAGGCAGGTAATAAAACGAGTTCTTCAGCAATAGTGTGAGGTTTCTTGCTCTTTGCTATGCGCCAGACAACTTAGCAATATGAAAGAAACGCCTTTGTAGCTATTGTAGCTTGTTTAGTGAATGTTGATTGATGAGCAAAAATTTCTTTTGGCTTATGAGAAAAGAATTCCCGAGGCTTATTTACCAAACTTCCAGGATTTTACTCCAAATGTCGTTTCATTTTATTAGGAAGCATGCTTCCACTAGCCAGTACTTTCAAACAAATCGCACATTGTGGTTGTTCTTCTTTTCCAACAGTAGGCGTAAGACCGCAGTTCAAGGAACTGTCGTCATAGAGTAATATATATCTCCTTAGTCTACGCTGCCGTTATACTTACAGTATTTTCGTCTACTATTGTCTTTAGAATCGCTTGAACTATCTCGCTTTGTATTATTTTTTAAAAATTTATCCATAATCACTCACAAAATTATCAGAAAAGACAAGAGAACGATCTGATTTTGTTGTAACTGACATCGCAACTGATACTTAGTCAC